CAGCGCGCCCCGCCCCGCGCCGCCTTCGTCCCGGGGGCGGCGAGGCCCGGCCGGCCCGCAAACCGCACCTCGTTGTCACGCTGTCTCCGTGGTTTGCTTTCCCGCAGTCGCGGTGTCGTGTTGCTCCAGCTGGGCTCGAATGAGGACGCCCGGACTGTAGAGGAATCCGGCGGCGAACGCGGCACCGCAGGTAACAGAATCCGCCCGGGGCTGGGGGCGGGGGGCCGTGGGAGCCCCGGGCCCGCGGGGGAGGGGCCGTCTCACGTGCAGGGTGGAGATTTAAATGAAATCTGAGTAGCCTTTGTATTTTAAACCCGGATATTTTTCTTTTCACTGTTGACAGTTTTCAAGGACCGCAGAACTCCCGGAGTCGGGCTCGTTTAAACTAGCTGTAATTACAGCGGGGCTTCGCCAGGTTCTTAGTTTGCAAACAATGAGGATAATGTTCAGCCCCGCCGGCCTGCCTTTTCACCCCCTTCGTTCATTGGCTAGATGGGTTCTTAGTGTCGTTTTGGGAGAAATCCATTCCGGAGTTCGTTTTCCTTCGGGTGTTGTTGTTTGTGGGTTATTTGTTTTTTGTTTTTTGTGTTTTTTTTTTGTCGGGGGGGGGTTCTTTTTAAATATTGAATTAAATTCTCATGACCGGTAATAAAGTCGTATCTTTTCAAATACTTTAGATATTGGTGGCAAATACAAACTAAAGTGTGGAAGTTTCATACCTTGCTTTATTGAAATGTCAACTTCCTTCTATGTTGCTTTATAGGAAAAGGTACTTTAAGCTTCTTTTATAATTTTAATACCAGAGTTTTGTGCCATGTGGATGTATACGTGTCTTTTTAAAGGATTTATTAATATTCAGGGTAAAAACATTCCTTAATCGTTTGCTGGCTCCTCCTCTTCCCCCGTCCCTGCTAAGGAATCCTTTTTTGGTTGTTGTTGTTTTCAGTATTTGTCAGGAAGTAAAGATTTAAATAGTCTGTGCTTACAGACATTGAAATACGTTTTACATGAAATTGCAACAAAGACATTGGCTCTCCGAAGGATTGTACACTATCTAGTTTCTTGTATCCCACCAGCAAATGATAATCTGTTGTGGCTTAATTTCCACATCATAATTTATTACTTTTCCCTTCGTGGACTCTTTGAGTTTTGCTTTATCTATATAAAGGAGTTTCATATTTTAAGTATACAGTAGGTTCAAGGTTTGTTAAATGCTGCTTCCTATACTTAAGATTTCATAGATTCTAGTCAGTTAGGTAATCAATCTGCCTATTAAATTGAAAGGTTAGAAAATTCTACCAGAATTTTAATAACACTGACTTGGTCTTTCCTAGAGAAGTGTTGTGGTGTTATTGTTAACACTGAGATTGCTTTGGTTTGAGTCCTGTCTCTGTCACTTGCTAGTTCCGTGTGCCTATATAAGCTATTTAACCTGTTCAGCTTCAGTTCTCAACTTTATAATGGAGAGAATACTTACCTTGTAGGATTATTGTGAGAATTAAATGAGTTAACGTTTACAGTACTGATGGTAAATGGGGACTGATGCATATGCCTCCTACCATGCTGAGTAACATTATACAAGGGATCATATAGGTTATCTTCACAATATCACTGAAGTAGCTCTTTTCAGCTAAGTGAACAGGTGAAGAGATTCATTAATTTCGTTCTCTCACTAATTGCTTCAGCTGAAATCAGAAACTAGATTAAAAATTCACGTCCTTTTTTAAAAGTATTTCTTTTTGCCTCTCAGATAGTGCAGCATAAAAAATTAATAACTCAACATTCGTGCATAATTCAAATCCCAGCCTTTTTCTCAAAGCCCTTCTCAGACTGTTTCCCAACTCCGCTTCAAGCGTGGTAACAATATTCCAGCTCTCTTATCTGACCTGCTAATGTCCCATCGTCACTAGTGCAATTCTGCAAATATAGCCTTTATTTTACTCTCCACTTAAGATTTTACCCAGATGGTTTCTAAACTTCCTGGACAACGTGCTTCTTCCTCAGTGCAAATCTGGTTATAAACATAGTACTAGATTTGAGTGCTTTTGTCCTCTTTATCTTTAGTTTGCATTGCTTAGTACAAAACAGTGTCTTTATACTCTGAAACTGTGAATGTTTGATGAGTACTTGTTATTTTAACAATTTAGCACATTGTGTTTTGGGTTAATGGTTGAAAAGGTTAAAAAAGAAACTATTTTTTTCCCCTAAAATGATAGAATATAATCCTGTGTAGTTGAATACAGATTTTAGTGATACGTAGTTAATAAACTTCACAAATACGGAAAAATAAGTATTAAAATCATAAGGTCCGTAGATATTCAGTTGAGAAAAATCAAGAGCAATATTTTCTGTTATTTATTCTAAATGCTTTGTATTTCCTCACTCAGTTCTCTCCCCCATTGATTATCTTGACACTAACAGGAAGAACTGAGGTAACAAAATAATAACTTAATTATTTTTTAATGAGATTTTTTTAAATTAAATTTTTATTTGTATTGGTACATGTTTGTAGTATATAAGGATTACATTCCTCATGGACAGTTGGTACGTGTACATAATGGAAGGGGAGGACAGAGGAGGGAGATGGAAAAAGAATTAAGTAATTTTGGTTTGGTTATGTTTTGTTTTGTTTTGGAGACACAGTCTCCCTTTGTAGGTCAGGTTGACCTGCACTCACTGTGCAGCCCAGGATCCAGTCCTCCTGCCTTACCCTCCTAAGTACTGCAATTAGACGTGTGCTGCAGTGCACAGCTCAGTAACTTTTAAAATATACTTTTTGAATATTTAGCGCCCTCTTTGCAGTTTCTACATTATAAGAGTGATATATTGTTGTGTATTACTAAAAAATAACTTCATTCAAATGTGAGGGGATTAAACAAGGAAGTTTGTTTGCCCTATGTGAACAGTTAATACTCTTATCTAACCTTGTTCACATTCCTTTCTATAAAAACCTGCCCAATATTGTAGGGTCATCAGTCTAAAAACTACTGCATGGGGCTGGTCTAAGGAGCACATGATACTAATATCCCATCTAGCACAGCCAGAGTAATATTTGAGTATGTGAAGTAGTCCCCAGCCTCCAGGCCATGAACTCAGAGGAACTGGGCTGCACAGCAGACTTTAATATCTGCTTCCGTTTAGAGAGCTATTTTTGAGAGTGACTCATGTTGTAACATGTGTCAGTGAATGCATTTGATCATTTGTGCTTCTGGGTTCTCCATGCATGGATTCAACCAACCAAGTACTGACTAGCAAAGATATCTGTATTTATAGCAGTTTCCCATTACTAGCTGAACTCAGCCTCCTGTCAGGCCAGCAGTACCTGGTACCAAAAAGGTTGGAGACTGCTGGTCTAGACCATTCACATGATTTTTTGAATTTTTAAGTTGATGTGGAAGACTTGGGAAGCAAAACTGTAAAGGTCTTTTTATAGATTGGGTTAACATTGGAATTGTAAAGAAACATGAAGAATGGGCATAGGCAGCCAGTATGTGGAGGCAGAGAACTTGTTTCCTGAGGACTAGTTATACATTTAAATTAATATAAATTTGCAACTTTATTGCTTTTCCTTTTATTTAAACGGATATCTTTAACTTTTAATAAAGCCCATTTGGTAATTTAGCTTGTAAGCAATAAAATGCACCTATTTTAGGGGTACAGTTTGATGAGTTTCAGTAAATATATTGATACATATCAGTAAATATATGTAACTTTTAAAACCCATGGATGGCTATTTTAGGTTGCTTACCATTTTTATAAGAAGTAAAGCTATTCTGGACAGTTGTGGGCAATAGACATGTCTTCATTTCTCTTGGCTTCATGTGTATATTTGACATAAAATAGGGGTACATTTGACATTTTTTGGTAAATTTTGGTAAAATTCATAGTTCAGTGACATTTAGTACATTCATAATGTGCAACATTTGTCTAAACTAACATTTTATCACCATAAAAGAAAACTCCAGTCATGGAAGCCAAAATCTGCTTTCTGTCTCTAATAGATTAACCTGTTCTGGATACTTTACATAAATGAGATTATGCAATGTGTGACACTTAATATCTGCTTCCACTTACAGTAATATTTTTGAGATTGACTCATGTTGTAACATGTGTCAATGAATACATTTGGTCTTTTGTGTTTCTGGGTTCTCCATCTGTGGATTCAGCCAATCAATATTGAAAATATTTGGAAAATAACGTGTATGTTTAACACATACAGGCTTTTCCTTGTCATTCCATAAACAATATAATATTTATATGGTTTCTATATTAGGTATTGTAAGTGATCTACAGATGAAGTATATAGAGGTTTAAGGTATTTTACATGCAAATACTGTGCTATTTTAAATCATAGACTTCAGTATCCAAAGATTTTGCTATGTGCCCAGGTGGATAAGGAGGCCTGGAACCAATCCTCTCACAGATACCAATGGATGATTGTATTTCATTCTTTTTATTGCCATATATTCCACTATATGGCTATACCATACTTTGTGTATTCATTGATCAGTTAATGGATAGTTGAGTTGTTTCTATCTTTGCGATCTAGTTGTATATTTTATAAATAATGTTATTATGACTTATTTGTGTACAAGTTTTTGTTTTTAATTCTTTTGGTTATGTACATAGTAGAACTGATAGGCAATAGAGTAGTTCTGTGTTTAACATGTTGAGAACCATTTCACATTTCCACCAATGGTGTGTGAAGGTTCCATTTTTTTATATCCTCACCAACACTTGCTATTTTCTATTTATTTTTGTTTCTTTTGCTTTTGAGATTTTTTTTTTTTTTTTTCTTTATTTTTTTGAGACAGGGTCTCACTGTATAGTACAGGCTGCCTCCTACTCAGGGCAATCACCCTGCCTCAGTCCTGCAGGCGGGTGGGGGACGGTCCCATGCTGGGATTATAGGCTTCTGTTTCTTTCTCACTCTCTTTCTAATTATAGTTGCCCTAGAGGCATGGAATGGTGTAGTATAGTGATTTTAATTTGCATATCCCTATAACGATGAGCTTATTTTCATTGGCTTACTGATCATTTATTTAAATATTTTCTTTGGAGAAATGTTTATTTAGACATTTTGTCCATTTTTGAATTGGGCTTACCTGCCTTTTTGTTGTTGAATTTTGAGAGTTTCTAATAATATCCTAGAGACTAAACTTACCAGCTATATAACTTCCAAATATTTTC